GAGGTGAGAGGGGAGTGTGGGAGTCGATGTAGACTAGAATATCTTTAATGAGCTCTCAGCCGTGAGATTCTGTGAATGTTGTTAAGACTGTTAAACATGAGAATTGGTAAAAGTTGTGTTGGCCAATGTTCTTTCTTTTGCGCATATATTATTTTTTATTTCAGCTTTATTGAGATGTAATCAATATGTAAAACTGAGATATTTTAAGTGTACAGTGTCATGATTTGTTACACATATACATTATGAAAAGATTCCCTATCTAGTTAATTACCATATCCATCACCTCACACACTTCTCTTTTTTATGTGTGTGAGAACATTTATGTTCTATTTTCTTAGCAAATTTCATTTACACAGCACGGTGTTATCAACTATAGTCACCATGTTTTACATAGCTGAGGTTTGTACCCTTTACCGACCTCTACCCCTGGCTACCACTTTTCCACTGTGTTTCTGTGAGGACTTAGCATAATGCCCTCCAGATCCATTTATGTTGTCAGAAATGGTAGGATCTCCTTTCTCATGGCCAAATGATATTCCAGTACACAGTACACACACACACACACACACACACACACCTTCATCCATTCATCCACTGATGGACAGTTAGGTTGTTTCCATGTCTTGGCTATTGTGATTAATGCTGAAATGAACATGGGGGTGCAGATCTATCTTTGATATTCTTATTTCATTTCGTTTCTTGGCTATATACCCAGAAGTGGGATGGCTGGATCATATGGCAGTTCTATTTTGAATTTTTTGAGGAACCCTCATACTGTTTTCCATAGTGGCTACACCAATTTACATTTCTACCAATAGTGTGCAAGGGTATTCTTTACTCCACGTTCTCCCTAACACTTGTTATCTCTTGTCTTTTTGATGATAGCTTTTTGAACAGGTGTGAGATGGTATCTCATTCTGGTTTTGATATTCATTTCTCTGATGATGAGCGATGAGCAGACACATTTTCTTTTACTTTTTGGGCATATGTATCTTTTCTTTGGAAAAAAAATGTCTATTTAGTTTCTCTGCCTGTTTATAAATTGGATTGCATGGTTTTTTGTTTGTTTGTTTGTTTGTTTTTCCTTTTTTGCTATTGAGTTCTATGAGTTCTTTATATATTTTGGATATTAACCCCTTATTGGATATATGACTTGCAGATATTTTCTTCTATTTTATAGGTTGCTTTTTCATTTCGTTGATGGCTTTCTGTCTTTTTAATATTTTTTTAGGTGAGGCAACCTTTCGTTTACCTCATAGATTGCAAGGCGCTTGTCAGCTTACAATCCCTTATGTTTTTATTTTTTACGCCTACAGCATCTGGTCTTCCTAGGTGGTCTCCCATCCAAGTACTAACCAGGCCCGACCTGCTTAGCTTCTGAGATCAGACGGGATCGGGCTTGTTCAGGGTGGCATGGCCGTAGACTGTTGATGGCTTTCTTTGCTGTGCAGAGCTTTTTAGTTTGCCGTAGTTCCACTTTATTTTTGCTTTCGATGCCTTTGCTTTTGGTGTTGAATCCAAAAAGCCATTGCCAAGACTGATGTCAAGGAGCTTACCCCAATGTTTTTTTCTAGGAGTTTGTGGTTTCAGGTCTTATATTCAAGTCTTTCATTCATTTTGGGTTGATTTTTGTGTATGGTGTAAGATAGGAGTCCATATATAGATTTATTTTGAAATGTGTTTATAAAGCTAAATTAAATGTTTAAGTTTTATAAGAAAACTTTGTATCTGAGTTGAGAACTGGTGGACTTGCTGTTGAACCAGAATACTTAAAACCCTATTAAGTTGACAGAATGTGGGAGATGCCAGCCTTTTAACTGCATGGGGGCATCTGAAAGTACCCTGTTAAGACAGCCCATTGGAGCTCAGCCTTGTCAGGCTTTTGGGGTGATGTGGTGCGAGCAGCAGTGGGATAGTAAGAAGGATTCTAAACTAGGTATCCGGGTCCTGTTATTCCACCTTTGCCACTAGCTAGCAGGTGACCGTGATAGCCTTATTCATAAAACGAAGGCATCATGCAAATAGGTACAGCCTTTGGGTATGATTTTGGGCAATAAATTTTTTTTAATGTTTATAATTTTTAATTTTGGAGTTATACTTCTAAGGACCTCTTAGGAATTCTAAACAGAAGAACATTGTGCACAAAGATGTTTCTTGCATTATTTAATGGTGGAACATTTATAAATGACATAAATGTCCAACATAGGTGACTGATTAAGCACTTGGTAGAATTTTTATGTAATTTCAAGTTTACATACTTTATACTTTCAGAAAGTATAATAACATGGAAAATATTCATAAAATATTGAGAAATGTCCAATAATTTTCTTTAATATCTATATATTATATTGAGGAAAATAACCAAAGGGATTTCCCCTGGAAGTGCATTAAGGTCCTGGCTCTCACATTTTGTGGCTCTGTGATATAGTCGCAGAGGGGGAAATCTCAGATGGACTGGAGAGGACAGAAAGGAGGGTTTGTTGTATCTTCTTGGGATCGTGGTAGAATCTAAACTTCTAACATTAAAAATTATAGTAGCATACCACCTTAATGTACTTATTTTTTCAAAGCAGTTTGGTCCTGATTGGTCTTATTTTATTATTATAAACAAACCAGCTTATACTCTGTTGTGAAACAGCCTGGGATGGAGGGGGAGCCACATGTGTGGTGACTTGGAGGGTGGCTTTAGGTTTAGGGCAAGTTGTCTAGAGATGCTTCTGTATTTTGCCTGTCTGTTCATTTTAGCTCTTGACTCTGCTTATCCCTTTCACCAAATCACAATTGGCTTTTCTTCTGGCTTGACACTTGAGTGATATGCGAGGTATTCTACTCCACTATAGGAAACTTCCCAGTAGGGAAGGCACAGGTAGAGGGTTGTGGGAGAGATTGCCCTGATTTCTCCTTTTACTTTGATTTTAACCTAGTCATCTCAGAGGAGAGGAGAACCTAAACAGTTTTGGGAACTGGCTCCGATTCAAGGTAAAAGCACCTACTGTGCTGTTTATCTATTGTCTTCCCTATGTGTTCACCTCATTTTGAGAAGAAAAGTAAGTTTTTCTTCATACTGTTACGTGGTCAAGGGCTGTTTTTGGCTTACAATGGAGTCGTTCTAGGTTTGTCCCTGTTTCTGAGATCAGGTCCTCCAAGAGCTGGGGTCGCCAGAGCCGTTTGCCGTGCTCTTTCAGCAGTGAAACATTGGATGGATGGTATGTGACACGTGTCTTTGGACTACAGCTGTTTTTCATACCAGTGACCTGCACCCTTGTCCACATTGCCCCTCTGGTCTTTAGGCCCTTTCAGAGTGTAGTTTGGATTTTGTAGCTGTTACAAATCAGTATCTGATTTATTTACTATGCTACTATGCTATCTCTTCTGGACATCTCATTTGTTTATCGCCCCCCACCCCCTGACATTTAAATTCGACTAACTAAAAGAAAAGTCAGGAGAAAATTTATTTATTATTTGGCTCATTCATATAACCAGGCAGTAATTAAGAATCTTCTATGTGTCAGACAGTATGCTAGCTGCTTTAAAAGTAGAATAGACTTGAGAATGAGGTTGAATGACTGTTTTGTAGAACTTGAGAAGAACAGGGCGATTATTGCTTTTCCTTATTATTTCTTAAAGACCACAAGCTGTAATCTCAGTTTGAAAAGATAGAATTAATACAAGAAATTTTATTCAGAATTACAAAACTAACAATTTATAAAAGAAAGAGAAATTCAATCTCTCTTGTATATCTCTCAAGCAATTTTGTTAATATGAAGAATTACATAAAAACATACAGGAATGTAATCATATACATTTACATATTTTTGGCTTGTTTTTCTTGTTAGTGTTTTAATATAATTTTTCATGGATATGTGTGCGTCTTTATAAAATATGGCATATTTAAATGTTTCTTCTAATTTTATTTGCCTTTTAAGTTTCTGTGTACCAATGAACATTATAAATGTTTCATTTTTATGTTGTCCTATTTGGTGGTAAATCTGGTTTTTACTTTAGTCTGCTATCTATATCTTTGGATTTTTTTTTTTTTTTTTTAATTTGGCTTTTCAAAGATTTACCATGAGTGAAACAGTTTAGGCAATATCTAGTATTTGAGGACTTCCTTCTCCGTATGGTGAAGAATGTGGGGATGACATCAGCCTTGTAAAATTTGAGTAGAATGATTTTAAATTAGGGGTTTTTAATCTATCTGGAGTGAATGAAATCTCTGAAATAGTTATTAAATTTAAATATATATACAGTTTTCTGGAGAAGGATCTGTAGCTTCCCGTAGATGTTCAGAAGATTCTGGGACTCAAAAAATGGCCTAAAGCCATTGCCCTAAATGGTTTTTAGTTACCTACATTTCTGTTGGTAGAAAATACGTGCAGATAAACGTCAACTTGTTTTGTCTCAGGCTTTCCTGGACTCTTGTGAGAGGTGTTCAAGAGGGAAAATATAGGTTTCCTTTCCCCTTTACAACCTCCTCCCCCTCTCTGAAAAACACTCAAGAATTCATTTTACTGCTTCCATTAGAATTACCTTCAGTATTTTAGCTGAGGTAATTGATGATTTTGGCAACCCCCAAACCACAGAAAATCACTCTGGATTCCAAATTTTGAAACCAGAAGAGAAATTCAGAAATAAACTTAAATTCTTGAACAGTTGAGATGGCGGCTTCAGTTACAGATGTTTTTTCTTAGTTCCTAAGGAGTAACTTAAGGACTGAGGGAAAGGATCTGAGAGGTTCATGGACATCAGGGCCTGGGGAGCCCGCTGGCCCTGTTGCTGCAGGAGAGGAAGGTAGGGTAAAGAAGAAGGTGGCATTTGTACTTGGGAGTTTTCCTAAGTTTCCTGCCTCTGAGGTCTTACTGGGCCAGGACAAGCATGTGTGTGAAAGAGTATTGGTTATGTATATCTTAAAATCCTACATGGAGAATGGAAATTAAGCTAAAAGTCTCTAAGGAATGTATAGACCGTCTCTTTTTCTCACGTCCTCTCTTTTTGTGTAGGTGGATGGAAGCATGTCTCGGGGAAGATCTGCCTCCCACCACAGAACTGGAGGAGGGGCTGAGGAATGGAGTCTATCTCGCCAAGCTAGGAAACTTCTTCTCTCCCAAGGTGGTGTCCCTGAAAAAAATCTATGATCGAGAGCAGACCAGATACAAGGTGAGTCCTTCCTTGCTTGGTGCTTAAATTTCTATAAACTTGACAGAGGAGGTTAGCATTCTTTATCCTGTGTAAGACTTACTGAGAAATATGTATTAAGTGTGTTTGTTGCAACAAAATAAAATACTTGGCAGAGTGGAGATAATGATGCAAAGTCAAGATAAAGATAAATCAAGATAAAAGGACTTAGCTGTCTTTCTGGTACAATTCTTATGATGGTGGATATCTAGAAATCTGTATGATCCTTGATGAATTTTGTATTTCTTAGAAGGTAGAGGAAGTAACTAGGGGAACTACTACTTTAAATCTAATTTTAACCAAGCACTGCCCCTTGTTGGCAAAGTGAAAGCAATAGGAGCTGTAGAGGAATAAAGATCGGTTTGTGATATTAGAGTTCAAGGTAAATTTGAGATAAGTGAAGGAGTTTGATTCTTGTGGCCAAAGGCCCTGAAAAAAAAGACCGCTTAATTAAGTTGGGATGTTGACAAGGATCAAATTGTATTGTCTACAGAGCTTCTGTGGGGAACTTTCCTGTGAGATCTTATTTGAAAAAAGGATGAGTATAACAGATAATGGAAGACTGCAAAACTAGGAGCAAATATGAGAAGGGTCAACTGTAAGAACTGGACCAGAACTCAGAATGAGCTAAGCATGCAGACACAATCAAAAGAGACTTTTATGTTTTATGTTAAGATGCAAAGAAAAACAAGAAAGATATAGATCCTAAGCCAAAATTAAAATCTCAAATAGAAATTTGTCTTAATCAGAAAGCAAAGGCTTATATATTGAGTTTTAAACGAGCGATTATTCTGAAGACAGTTCTGGAGCTGGTCCGTTCGGTTTACAAAATGCATGACAGAATAGCAAGCATTAAGGAAGAGTGGAGACTGCAGCAACAGTGAAAACTGTAGTCCCACGCCTCTACTCCTCTCAAGAGTACATCTTCCTAAAGAATAAGACATAGGGACTATTTGTATGTGTAACATGAAAACCCTGATTGACATATTTAATACTGTCTGTCACTTTGTATCTCCCCTGCCAAACACCACACTGAGGGCTTTCAGTACATGTTCTCATTTAATCTTTACAACAAACGTGGAAAGTAGGTGTTATAGATCGGGAAACTCCGGCTTGAAAGGGTGAAACGACCTGCCCAGTGTCACCAGTAGATGGCCAAGCAAGGAACTGAATCCACCAGAATTGAAGTCTGAAGACCATGTTCTGTCAAGCGCACTATACTAAAGAAGACTCTCTGGATGGTTTTTAGTGAGAGGAGCAGAGATGTGGACTTGGCTTTGGAATTGGAATGTAATGCTATAGTCAGACCTTGAATATAAGGGGACCTTGTAAAGCCTCACAAGGAAACTTTTCCAAGGAGAGTTTTTATTTTGTGTTTGCGTCAATATTGCCAGCAGTGCCTAATGATCTTTTATTTGTTCTAGGCAACTGGCCTCCACTTTAGACACACTGATAATGTGATTCAGTGGTTGAATGCCATGGATGAGATTGGATTGCCTAAGGTAATTTGTGTGATATTCATAGTTCTGGCTTACATCTGGCTCTTTTGGCATAAGAGTTCTCATTCTACCTATAAAATTATTCTTTATTTTCAATCGAATCTTTGGTGATTATTTTTTAAATACCTAAGATCTCTTTTTTCTGTTTCTTTTAGGAAGTAGTTTTATTCTATTTCTTTTATATTCATCTCCATGCTTTCACCTCACCTTAGAGAAATTCCCTCTGATATCATTTACTACATGAGATTGTAGATTTACATTAAAATTCACATACCATGAAATTCACCATTTTAAAATATACCATTCAGGGTCTCTCCCCACACACAGAGTTGTTCCATCAAAATTTGACTTTAGGAGATATAAAGAAATATTTTAGAAATGTCATCTTCTAGCTTTAGAATAACCAAATCTATAGGGAATATCAAGAGTCTTTTTATATTTCAAATTGTGGAGACAGTATAATGGCATTTACTTCTTAAGTCCAGTTTTAGTGATGGCTGTAGTTTTTTTTTTTTTTAACAGCTTTACTGAGATATAATTGGTATATTAAAAAGCACATATTTAATGTATGCAATTTGACGAGTTTGGAGTGATGGCTGTAGTTTCGGTGTGGGAGTGTACATCCTCCAGTGTTTTGCTTTGGAGTTTATTTTGTGCTGCCCTTAGTGAAATTGCCATCTTTAGCTACCCAGTCCTACTTTGAACCCATAAAAGCCATACTATATTGTCACTTTTACAGGCATGGACATTTTTTCTCCTCATATCCTTTGAACTAAGAATTCCACTTCTGGGAATTATTCCTCCTCAAAAATCAGACAAGCACAGAGAGTTGTATGTGTAAGGATTTTTCATCATTGCTTGTGATAAGACAAAATTGATAGCAAACCACATGTTCCTTCACTGTGGGTATTGATTGTGTTACAGCCAGTCAGGTACTAGTGTAGGCATTAAAAAGGATATCAATCTGTATTGACAAAGAAGTTGTCTGTGATGTGTTAAGTGGGAAAAAAAACCAAAATAGTCTAAGGTATAAGAGTGTGTTCTGGCTAATCTGAAATCACTGTTTGTGCAATAATAAAGTGAGTATTCTTGGAAAAATTTGGAAGGAGATTGTTTTCATATCTGTGCAGTGAGATAAAGGGTTGTTTTTTTTTTTCTTTATACTTCCCTGTAGAGTCTAAATTTTTGTAATCAAAGAAAGATGAAGAAAAATAGTGAGATATGGAGTACTAGAACGTGGCTAAAACTACTGGGAAGTAAATATTTGGTGCCTAGCA